ATTTGGTAAGGCCATTATTGTTTTAATAAAGCAGTCATATCAGATGTTTGGACATTCCGATTATAATTAGATTTATTTGGTAAGGCAATTATTGTTTTAATAAAGCAGTCATATTAGATGTTTGGACATTCCGATTATAATCAGATTTATTTGGTAAGGCAATTATTGTTTTAATAAAGCAGTCATATCAGATGTTTGGACATTCCGATTATAATTAGATTTATTTGGTAAGGCCATTATTGTTTTAATAAAGCAGTCATATCAGATGTTTGGACATTCCGATTATAATTAGATTTATTTGGTAAGGCCATTATTGTTTTAATAAAGCAGTCATATCAGATGTTTGGACATTCCGATTATAATTAGATTTATTTGGTAAGGCCATTATTGTTTTAATAAAGCAGTCATATCAGATGTTCGGACATTCCGATTATAATTAGATTTATTTGGTAAGGCCATTATTGTTTTAATAAAGAAGTCATATCAGATGTTTGGACATTCCGATTATAATTAGATTTATTTGGTAAGGCCATTATTGTTTTGATAAAGCAGTCATATCAGATGTTTGGACATTCCGATTATAATTAGATTTATTTGGTAAGGCCATTATTGTTTTAATAAAGAAGTCATATCATATCTTTGGACATTCCGATTATAATTAGATTTATTTGGTAAGGCCATTATTGTTTTAATAAAGCAGTCATATCAGATATTTGGACATTCCGATTATAATTAGATTTATTTGGTAAGGCCATTATTGTTTTAATAAGGCAGTCATATCAGATGTTTGGACATTCCGATTATAATTAGAATTATTTGGTAAGGCCATTATTGTTTTAATAAAGCAGTCATATCAGATGTTTGGACATTCCGATTATAATTAGATTTATTTGGTAAGGCCATTATTGTTTTAATAAAGCAGTCATATCAGATATTTGGACATTCCGATTATAATTAGATTTATTTGGTAAGGCCATTATTGTTTTAATAAGGCAGTCATATCAGATGTTTGGACATTCCGATTATAATTAGATTTATTTGGTAAGGCCATTATTGTTTTAATAAAGCAGTCATATCAGATGTTTAGACATTCCGATTATAATTAGATTTATTTGGTAAGGCCATTATTGTTTTAATAAGGCAGTCATATCAGATGTTTGGACATTCCGATTATAATTAGATTTATTTGGTAAGGCCATTATTGTTTTAATAAAGCTGTCATATCAGATGTTTGGACATTCCGATTATAATTAGATTTATTTGGTAAGGCCATTATTGTTTTAATAAAGCAGTCATATCAGATATTTGGACATTCCGATTATAATTAGATTTATTTGGTAAGGCCATTATTGTTTTAATAAAGCAGTCATATCAGATGTTTGGACATTCCGATTATAATTAGATTTATTTGGTAAGGCCATTATTGTTTTAATAAAGCAGTCACATATCAGATGTTTGGACATTCCGATTATAATTAGATTTATTTGGTAAGGCCATTATTGTTTTAATAAAGCAGTCATATCAGATGTTTGGACATTCCGATTATAATTAGATTTATTTGGTAAGGCCATTATTGTTTTAATAAAGCAGTCATATCAGATGTTTGGACATTCCGATTATAATTAGATTTATTTGGTAAGGCCATTATTGTTTTAATATGAAACAGTCATATCAGATGTTTGGACATTCCGATTATAATTAGATTTATTTGGTAAGGCAATTATTGTTTTAATAAAGCAGTCATATCAGATGTTTGGACATTCCGATTATAATTAGATTTATTTGGTAAGGCCATTATTGTTTTAATAAAGCAGTCATATCAGATGTTTGGACATTCCGATTATAATTAGATTTATTTGGTAAGGCCATTATTGTTTTAATAAAGCAGTCATATCAGATGTTTGGACATTCCGATTATAATTAGATTTATTTGGTAAGGCCATTATTGTTTTAATATGAAACAGTCATATCAGATGTTTGGACATTCCGATTATAATTAGATTTATTTGGTAAGGCCATTATTGTTTTAATAAAGCAGTCATATCAGATGTTTGGACATTCCGATTATAATTAGATTTATTTGGTAAGGCCATTATTGTTTTAATAAAGCAGTCATATCAGATGTTTGGACATTCCGATTATAATTAGATTTATTTGGTAAGGCCATTATTGTTTTAATAAAGCAGTCATATCAGATGTTTGGACATTCCGATTATAATTAGATTTATTTGGTAAGGCCATTATTGTTTTAATATGAAACAGTCATATCAGATGTTTGGACATTCCGATTATAATTAGATTTATTTGGTAAGGCCATTATTGTTTTAATAAAGCAGTCATATCAGATGTTTGGACATTCCGATTATAATTAGATTTATTTGGTAAGGCAATTATTGTTTTAATATAAAACAGTCATCAAAGATACTAGGCTTATAATTTATTTGTGTGGACGAAACAAGTCAGGAAAATGGCCATTGTTATATTATAGTTCGTTTCTGTGTGTGTTACATTTTAATATTGTGTTTTTGTTGTGTCGTTGTTCTTCTCTTATATTTGATGCGTTTCCCTCAGTTTTAGTTTGTAAACCGGATTTGTTTTTATCTCTATCGATTTATGAGTTTTCGAACAGCGGTATACTACTGTTGCCTTTATTTATAGGTTTAATCATTCGCAATCATTACCTGTTGAGTATAACGAATAAAAATAATTTGCCAGTCAAAATATTTACGATTTTCGAAAAAAACTTGATACAGTTAACAATTGAATAAGATATAAATAGTTGCAACAAATTACACCATTTGCATTTCTGGGTATTTAAGTGAGCTTGTATATTTAAGGGAAAATGACTCCATTGTTCTTTCAAAATGTTTCGGAACTGAAACGATACTATACATTCGTAAAAATTCTATTTTAGTTCTTGTTATTTTACTTTCATATTATTTATTGATGGGAATGATTGGGGTTTGTCAATGGAAAAGAAAATGTCGTATGCAGACGTCTAAAAATAGACGAAATGAAATCGTGCAAAATACCGAAAATAATATAAACAGTAATTCAACTATGCGATTCAGGGAATTGGAGGAACAACAACGATTTACCAACCAAGTATGTTCAATTGAAGAATCACGCATTTAAAAACGCGTGTCTATATCTACTCAGTATGTTCAATTGAAGAATCACGCATTTAAAAACGCGTGTCTATATCTACTCAGGGTATACCAGCTTACCAGTAATAAGAAATAAGTCCAAAATTTCGTGTCATAGTGTCATCCGAAAAGCAATTTGTATTTGATATCTGGCGTGTGAATATACATAATGTGGTTTATAATGAGTAAGATATTATTTGTTGTCAACTTTATTGGAAAAGGAACGTGATGAATTTGAGAAATGTACAAAGATTTACGTTTTTGTATTGGACTATATATACTCAAGAAACCCAAGATATATGAGTTCAGTTATTCTTAAAACCTCAACAGAAAATATTTCAATTTGAAGTATTGATTTCTTGGATCACCTCTAGGCAGAAGTAGGACGAGACTCAGATGTGCAGTTTCCGTAGTCGAAGACGATAGTTTGTTAAAGTTTGTGATTAGGTCATTTTAGGGGAACCACTGAATGTAAGGCAATGATATTTAGTATTATTTCTATAGGCATTGACACATATTATTTCCAAGGCGATTATTTGGTTTTGCTCCATCAGTCATGCTCTATCGCCCTTGAAAATTTTGTTGAGTTTAGATACAAAAGTTTGTGATTAAGTCAGTTTAAGGTGAACCGTTAATGGTAGTTCAATGATATTTGGTATGCTTCTATGTTATTTGGTCTCTTGTGGAGAGTTGTCTCATTGACAATCATACCACATCTTCTTAGTCTTATAGTCATATCAGCATTTTAAGATATCATTTCCATTTGGATTAAATGGTTCTGCCCCTCAGTCGTGGTCTATTGACTTTGAATTTTTTGACTAGTTTTTATGTAAATTGTAGTGATTAGGTCAGTTTAAGATGAACCACTTATGTTAAGTCAATGATGTTTTGTATGTAGTTGAGTTAGTTTAGCATATCGTTTTTCCAGGGCGAATATTTGGCCATACACTTTCAGTCATGTTAGATTGGCTTTGATTGTTTTGTATAGTTTACATTTCAAAGATTGCCATTTTTATTTCAACATTTGAATTTTCGATAGAAAAATTATACAGGCGAGACATATTCATATGTGAACAGTTTAAGAGTTAACTATTTTAAACGTTTCTTTGAAAGAATATTAGTACGATTTACACACTTTTTAATGATCAAACTCAATTTAGATAAATTATTGTTTTAAGGCTTAAATGAATTGCTTTTATTGAATTTAATAAATCGGATTCATTGACCATATTAAGAATGTAAGTTTTGGACGGATTTCTCCAGATGGGTAATCAGTATATTTATAAAAAAACAAATGTTCTGTGTTAATCATTGTGGATAATGTTTCCTAGTTAAAACAAAAAGCCATCAATGGTTGCAGTCAATATACAAATGTACATTATCAAAGTATCCATTTTGTCGTTCATTGTTCTTGATATAATCTAAGCATGATATAGTTCAAGATATTTAGTGGCCTTCATTGATTTACGGATGTCTAGACTCAATTTACTTTGGGATTTTACTTCAATGTAAAATACATTAATGTATTTAATGCATAGAATGGCATCATAGGAAAGTTTCAGCATGTAAGATAATAGACACTGTACATACTGATACCATCAGCGATTTATATGACAATCATCATGCAGATATATATGACAACATACAACACATTACAATATACTAATATTTTTATATTATCTATATCCTATAAGTAACCTATAAATGTCGTTGTCTCTAACATAATATTAAAAAATGCAGTATTATATTAAATGAAAGTAATTGGTTATTTTTTTTTGTAAAAATAGTGGAATTGGAGTTATACTTTATTTCCCGAAACTGGCATATATTATGTGAATATTTCTTAAATAATAGGGCGAATTAATACAACTTTCCTTCTATCTGCTTTTCACAGTTTCGGCCATGTGCTTAAAAATAACAACAGACATGGAACAGTAACAAAAACATTGACGGTAAGAGATACGAAAGGGCACGGCGATATGAATTAGAACATTAGGTTTCTGGTGGAAAGTTGTCTCATTGGCAATCATACCACATTTTCTTATTTTTTAAAAATAAACCATAAATACTATATCGTGAAGTTGTTTGTAATAACGTTTATTAATTTGTTCGATATTCTAATAAGTGCCATATTTAGTCAAACTCAGTTCTTTGGTGTTTTAATCTTGTAAATCGATAAAGGAGAGACAAATCAAGGTAACAATCAAAAACCCAAAAAGAAGCGAGCCCGAGTGTGTCGACAGTGTGCCGACAGTGTGTCGACAGTGTAAATGTCTTCTGTTATACATGCATACGACAGCCCACCATTTACTAAAAGTCAACAAAAAATCAATACTGTTTATCAGAAGAAAAAAAAAAAACAGTTGTCATCTCTGTTGATGAGATTGTAAAATTCTTTTGTATGAACAGCGGGATACTACTATTGCCTTTATTTATTGATGTTTATGGCATACATTTCTTGCATATTGACGACGATAATAAATTAACAATTAATCCAAAAATTTATGTTATTAAGCCTGACCGGGAACAAAATGTTGAAATACCACGAGCAAATAGGCAGATAGCTGTGGACATTTAACCTTGGAAAAGAGAGGCGAAGATACCAAAAGGACATTCAAACTAATAAATCGAAAACAAACTGACAACGCCATGGCCAAAAAAGAAAAAGGCAAACAGACACACAAAAGTACACAAAACAACATAGAAAACCAAAGACTGAGCAACACGAACCCCACTAAAAACTGGGAGTGATCTCAGGTGCTCTGGAAGGGTAAGCAGATCCTGCTCCACATGTGGCACTTGTTGTGTTGCTAATATAAGTACACACCCAGTGATATGTCTAATTCTGTAGGTCACATTCGGGTGAAAAGTAACGATATTGTAGTTACGACAATTGGAACATATCCGTTGTCATCTGTATAACAGATATTCCGTAACGGTCAACCAACTCGTGATGGAGTCCGTAAAATTTACGTAGAAATGATTTCAACTTCACTTCTTGGAACTCTTGGTTTAATAGCTTCTTTGTGAGCAGCAAACCTCTATCAAGGAAATCACGATAGGCATGATACAAGACCCTCGACGAGTTGTTTGAATGGATCATGAACATGTAGATAACATGGCCTTTTAACTACATTATGCATTGCATCTGATTGGACGATACTGCGTATTTATACATCTTGCAAAATCAATTGGCCGCCCAATCTGCCACGAGTGAAATACCGGACGGGAAATTGTCATGGGAGCATATGTTTACACCAAAGTCAACCTTTGGAGTCTTTTGAGTACACAGGCGTGCCTACAGACTAACAGGCCAACTATTTTCTTATCTCCTTTATGCTATAATTAATTTATGAACTGCCTGTGGAACCATAATTCACTGATACAGTTTGATTTTTCTCCAGAGAAAAACGAATAAATTATCTAAAATACTATAATTTCATGTTTAATGCTAAATTTGAAATGTACATATGTTGCATCGAATTAATGATGCAGTTTTGTAATATCAATAGTGATGGTTATAGAATTTATATAATACCTAAATGTACCAGATGTCAATCAAAACACGATGACTAACAATTGAACATCAGAATATAGCGCAATTATAGTTTAGTAAAGTACGAAGGTATGAATGGAACTTTTAAAAAAGTAATTTCTGCAAAGTAAATTCTTTTCACAATTGAGAAAGGTTTGGCGTTTTTAATGCAAAATGTTATCAATGTAGAATATCATTGAAAGATTCAAACATTGGATGTTTGACACGTGTAGATCTATTATAAAAATAAGAAGATGTGGTATGATTGCGAATTAAACAACTATCCACAAGAGACCAAATGACACAGACATTTACTATTATAGGTCACCGTACGGCTTTCAACAATGAATAAAACCCATACCGCACAGTCAGCTTTAAAAGGCCCCAAAATGACAAATGTAAAACCATTCAAACGAGAAAACAAACGGCCTGATTTGTGTGTTCATTATCTATTGTGCTGTATTTGTGTTCTGTCGTAAATTAATTTTAGGTGTTCGTTGTTATTCTGTGGTTAACATGTTGAAATCTACCTTTATATTATTTATTTATGTATTTCTCTGCCCTAATTGTTCTTGCATTTATTTGTACTGTATTCCTGTCACATATTATGTCATTTTATCGGTATTTTTAACATTACCATATAAGCGGGAGGTTTGGCTAGCCATAAAACCAGGTTCAACTCACCATTTGTTCTTAAAATGTCCTGTACCATGTCAGGAATATGGCAGTTGTTATCACATTGCCGTTTCTATGTATGTTGGCGTTTGTTTTTGTAGCAGTTCAGTGTTTCTGTTGTTCCGTTTTGTTTCCTCTCATAGTTGATGTGTTTCCCTCAGTTTGGTTTTTGATCCGGATTTGTTTCAGTTAAATCGATTTATGACCATTGAACACCGGTATACTATTATTGCTTTTATTTATGTACAAAATAATGTACGAAAAACAAATATGATATACAGCAACAAACGACAACTACTGAATTTACAGGCTCCTGACGTGGGACAGGCACATATAGAATGCGGCGGGATTAAACTAGTTTAAAGGCGCCAACCATCCCCTAACATGGGACAGTGGTGTAACAGGACAAAATAAGAACAAACTATAGAAATCAATTGAAAAGGGCTTAACTCGTCAGATGGATACAAAGCAGAAATACATCTAACATCAACATAGAGTGGACGTGGCAGGGTACTTATACACCCCCACAAGTAAAATTAAGTTTGCATTGTGAACAAAAATAACACTATCGACAATATATATCAGGTAGTCCTCAAAAAGGTGTCCAAACAATATGTCAACTCTAAATCGTACCAAGTTTATACATGGTTGTGAATGAATAGCAAAGAAGTACCAAAGATCTGCCATCAAATTACAAAAATATTTAAGTGTGACATAAGACAACCACTGACGAGGATCCGGACTTTGGACAGGCAAATGAATTTAAGACGGGGTTAACCTTGTTGTTACCCTCTTCCTATTACTTAGATCAGTGGAACTGAAAAAATACACACAAGAACATTTGAAAATGCTCTTTATCATGACAACATCCGTTCTGTCAGAGGATGAATATTTCGCAATCTGAAGAGTTCTCTGAATTTTCTGATTTTAATGCCAAATATGCTTATTGTTAGACCTTTCATTTAAATTAAAATATATAAAAGATTTTATTATTTCTTATCTCAAAAATACAGAAATTTTGTTGGTTGATTACACATTGAATCAGATAAGTTTTTTTCTGAAAAGCAATCTTCATTTCTATGTATATTTTTAACAAGAACTCTTTTTCTTTTATTTCTTGCAAACAAGTTATCAGAGTTACCTTCTCATATTTTGTTTCAAACTTCTGTAATTGAAGATTCATTGTCAATAAAAGACAAATGTTATTTTTTAAATATCGATATATGCGTGACAGCATAGCTTTCGAAAATGAAAAATGGTAACCTGATGTATGATTCACGCAATGTCACAGCTTGAAGAATATAGAAAAAGTTTTATTAACAATTTATATTTTTTTGACTTTTTAAAAAGACATATCCAACTTCATCTACTCCTTCACACTGGTGCAATCTTCTAAAATATTTATAATCTTTATTAAAATTGTGTCCTGTGTTTACTGTGAGGTCCTTACAACAGTATATCATATTTCGGAAAGCAGATAGTAAAAACGTCTATTAGTAGACACCCAGCAACAGGTTGTTTACGCGCGTCTGGCGCTAATACAAAATTTCTATACTGGTATCTATGATGAGTTTATTCAGATAACGTTGTATTGATGAAGACTGTTCTGTGAACTTTATTTTTTATGTGTGTCGTTAGGTTGCTGTTTCATTGATATATATCCTATATCTATAAAAAAAAGTATATTAAACCGTTGCTACGTATAATTCACAGAATGTGTTCCCAAAGATGTTTTATTCTAAATACCAAAACATATACGTTTGTTAGTGTTTTAGAGTCATCTAACCACGATGATTGTTTGCGTAAGATGTGAACATAAAATATGGAGTTGTCGCATCAATCCCACTGAGACAACTACCCAACATAGAAAATAAAGTAAAGAACTGCATTTATTATTAAGAATCTAAGGTTCAAACTCCCTCAAGGAAACTTGACCTAAGATAAAATCGCCTATTATATGAAGGTCCAGTTTTGTCATACATATAGATTATACATATCGTATTTACACATCACTGGCTGTTAAATGTTTGTGTTTGAGTGTCCTTGATGAAGGTTAATACAGAAAAACGCGTCGTAAGCACGCCATTGATAAAGTGTTTTTTTTTTCATGTAACAGAACTTGGTCGATACCGCTGCTGGTTAACTGTTTGTTTCCGAGAGTATTATCAGCTAAGAAGTTAGTGGTACGTACTAGAATGATATATAACTTTCTTATTTGAAATTCCCAGTAGATAAATTCAGTATCACGAAACGAAGGTTCCAATTTCCCCAAGGAAAGTTAATCTTAGATACATTGACTATTCTGTCCAGGTCCTTTTTGGTCATATAGCTCCTAGAGTTTCTTCCTGTTTACACATCCCTGAATTTTTTATGCTTAGGTTTTGGCGTTCCCGATTAAGGTAAATATTGAAGAAAGCTTCGAACGCAAGGAAAGAATCAATGATTGTTTCATCTACAGGTCATTATACGGCCTTTGACCATTGGCAAAATCCATACCATATAGAAAGCTACAACAGGCACATATATTACAAAATTTGAAACAATTAAAAGTAAAATCGAAAGGTCTCAAATTAGCTAACAACGTTAAGCAAATAGATATGTCAGATAACAATTAACGACAACCACTTGACTACACCTGACTCGGGACTGGCACATTGAAAATGTGGCGTTAGCAAATATGTTTGTAAACGCTCAGCCTTTGACAGTAATGTAACGTTTTGTTGATATCAGTTGTCAGTTTTCTGTGACTTATGGCGTTTAGGACGCGTGGTAACCCGCAGATATCTATTTTGGTTGAGTTTTATTGTTTATTTGATAAGCCGTTGACCGAAAGTGTTCACTGTACATATCCGTTTATCAAT